GGAAATCTGGAAAACACTGTTAAAGCATTTTTTAAGCAACTTGAATGTTTGCCCAGCTTATTACAAGCCATACATCAATTGTAGAGGATCCATCTTTGATCTGTACAGTCTACATTTTATTTATTTTTAATGAGGTTTTCAGAGCTTCTCTTTCTCTTCCCGAGTTGTACAATTGACTTTACTTACATGTGTTGTTTAATTATATGGATTCATCCTTTAATGTCTTTTGATACTAGAAATGTATTTAGTGTATGATGCAGCGACTTGCGGAGAGATCTTAGTTTCACAGGGTGTTGAATTTGCTCATGCTTCTCATTGCATTGTACTACTTGCTTTGCGTTCACTCTGACAGTGAACGAATCAGTGCATTAACAGTTTTTTTAAACCATACAGCACACAGACTCTGAAGTACATTTTCCAATGATATGCATTGTGTTTATCATTGTTAATGACATGTAGACTTTAGACAGTCTTTCTTTCACTTTGAGCGGTGGCTACAGTTTGCCTTTAGCCCTCTTTCCAAATAGCAGCAGCAGGCATAACTATGAGCTATTCAACACAATTCCTGAGCCAGCATTTTTTTAGGCAATTTCATCAAAAACCTTTCCTCGGCTGTATAAACAACGAGGCTTTGCTGATCTGTACCTTTGTTAGGTCCTCCTCAGAGAACCCAGCCCCAGTCACTCTGCCTTCCTCTCAGACTTACATTTACACAATACAAACAAAAGCCAGCCTGTGAACATTCCGCTGGTCTGGGAAAGGGTCATGGAGGTCAGACTTCCTGGGCCAGACTGGTCCGTGACACTACGGTTGGGCTCAGTGTCACTCCACCTCACACCGTGTCAGCATGAAGTGACAGAGCAGACAAGACACCCCCCCTCCTCCTCCTCCTCCTACAGTAATTCCCTAAAGGTCTCGCAGGCGTGGGATGCTAAGTTTGAGCTGGGATGAAAGGGGGAGCAGGGGCAATAGATGGGGCAGGAGGTCAAGGATATGGGGAGACTCACCCACTGGCCTGAGTTCCTTTTCTTTTCTGATCAGAGACATTTTAGATCTGTTCCTACTGCCCGCGATGACCTTAAGTGCCAAGGATCCCTGTCAGGGTTAAAGGTCACTCCCTCTGCATAACTATATTGCCCGGCATACGTGTATGAAAGTAAAAGTAACACAGGTTCACCAGGTTCACAAGAGCAGCAGGAGAAAAATAACAGAAATGTATGTTTTCATGCATAATAAAACATAATAATATGTTTGGAAATTCTCCAACAAACAAGCAGAATAAAAGCCAGACCATAAATAAAAGGACTAATCCCTTCCTGGGCTATGCCTTTGTCTCCGCTGACCCAGAGAGCTGTCAGAAGAGCAGAAAGGCCGTCAACACGCCCCTGAGAGGGCTGACATGGACCAGTGACCATGACCCGGGGCTCAGGACAATGAGCTGGTCAGAAGGATGGTGAGGGAGGGGGGGGCAGCAATGCCATGGAAGCCAAGGTGAATCGCATACAAGGAGAAAAAGGGGCTCAATTTTCATCTAGAAGCAAGACAGATGGAATAATGCAATAAATGGTGGTGCATCCTACTAACAGGGATAGAGAGTGTCTTGCTGGCTGTCATCTTTGCTAATGAAAGCGTGAAGACAGTTCCTGGCTGCTTGAGAGATTAAGTCAGATGCATAACCATGAATAACAGTAAATCCTTTCCTATAATTACTACTTTCTCCAAACAAAAATGAATGGAGGAGGCCCTTTCTTGGAGGAAGAAAAGATGGAGATTATGGCAAATTGAAGGCCAGGTGACGGGGAGGAGGAACAGGGAGGAAGGAAGGTGATGCTGGATGGAGACAGCAGGAAGACAAAAAGGGCAAAAGACAGAACAGAGACCGGATTAGAGGAGTGTCACAGCCCTGAGAGTTCGCCATGCATCTCGACCCAATATCCTCTCCTCTCATCAAAGATAATAGAACGAGTGCAAGGGAAACTACAGGAGGGAAGGGGAAGACACAAACACAACAAGCAGATGTGTCGTCTGGCCTGCGAGCAAATTAATCCTCCTCCCTCACCATGCTTTCTTCCTTTTATCAGTCAGTACAAAGAGACCTGCTTGTGTTTCAGGTCCAGACAACAGAGGAGGCTGGATGGTGGATTCCAGTCCTTGCTGAGAGAGGAGACTAGGAGGGGAGGGGGGGAAATAAGGGATTTGGGGGAGCCGGGTGGGAAATGTGGGTGTACGTGCCAGGTCAGCCTGGGACTTATGGCAGAGGGAAGATGGGAGATGAGAGAGACAGTGAAGGTTGGGGGTGATAGGAAGCTGGCTGGGCTAAGAGAGAAACGAATCAAACACTGACTCTCACAGAGCTCAGACACACTCATGGGCTTAGATGTGTGTCGGAGGTATAAGGAGAGGGAGGGAGGAGGCAAGGAGAGACAAAAAGAGAGAGGGGGAGTGATAGAAAGAAAAAAACGTATCGAGAAGGTAACAAAAAGATTGTGTCAACCGGTACAAACTTTCATTTTTGCTTGTTTTTTGTTCATTCCAAACTCATCTTTGACACGATTTTTTTAATGTTCCAATATTTCAAGTCAAGTAATGTTCCAATATTTCAAAGATTTAGGGCTCTTGTTCATTCAATATCATACATGGACAATAATTATAAAGCATAACAGGACCATCAGAACAATAAACTATAGTTTGATAATAAAGGTTTAATCACAGTTAGATTATGGTCTGAATTATCGGCAACAATAAAGTGCAATTTCCTAAATACCAAGCAAAATGATCTCTGATACTTTACTTTGATAATTTTTTTTCCATTTAGCAGAAGGGAACATCTATAACACAGCAGATATAAATAAAACACAGATTAATGACAAATATGTTTGATCCTGTTTGTAAAATAATTGTACTGTACTGTACAAAATTGGCAAAGTTATTACTTAAATATGTGCAGAATATGTGGCATAAACAAGACTTGAGACCATTAAGTGCAAACTTTTGATATTAAACAGTTCAATGCAAAACAAATTCAGGCAGGGAAGTATTGAGTTGTATACCCCTCCCCAGTAAAGAGATGCAATTTCATTTTGGGACGGAAAACCTCGAAAAAGAGGTTCAGGGTTAGCAACGCCTTTTTTTCAGTGTTGTTGCAACAGTAAAAAAAAAAGAAGGATGAGTAACATCGAATAAGCATTGGAAAGAAATACATTTGGAAAAAACAAATGGCAAACAGGCTAACAAACAGCTTGTTAGCCAAACATGTTTTTGATATCATTTATATCTTAGAGGAGCAGCCAAAACAGGGCTGGAAACAATGACGTGTGTGTGTGTGTGTGTGTGTGTGTGTGTGTGTGTGTGTGTGTGTGTGTCCTTTATCCACGTTGGATATCTTCTCCTAAATCTGCCTTAAACAGACATAATGAAGCCTCACAACATGAACACATTTTTTTGTGTGCCTCCTAATTCTGTCTGAATAGTCGCGACAAAGGAAACCTGTAACAGATAGCTAGTCTTGATTGGTCCCTGTGAGACGAGCATTGGTAAACTCCTTCCTGGGGGCAACTGGCCTCAAGCCCCTTCATGGGATTAGGGTTTGACCTGCAGAGAGGCAGCAGATGAGCAGGGATGGACACACACTGAGCTGGAAAGCCACAGGAGTCTTAGCAACAGAACATCTAAGCTCTAAAAAAGACCGCAACACAGGCCCACATATCTGCGTCTGTGCAGGTGTCCCAATTACTAAGCTGTGTTTTTCTCCTGTTTGTAAGGAGGTGACCTCTTGCCAGCTATTTTATTCAAATTTTTTAGGGCATTTGTTTTGAGAGATTGGAAAGGATGTCAGACTAAGGTCCTCGGCTGGACTCAAATCAGGGATGGTGCAAGATAACCTTTTAGACCTTGTGATTTCAAGGTAGCCCCCTTATTTGAAGTGTTATTATTTTTAATTGTTGTTTTCACCAGTCAAAGTAATAATTCATACTAAACCTGGAAGTGAAAAAACAAAGATGAACATTTCCAATGAACATTCATCAAAAAATAGGTAGTTGTGTTGTGAGGTGTGTTCATGTTATTGCAAATTGTGTCATTAGTTCATCAAATCAATAATTGTTTCACAATTTGTAATAGTTATCACCCAGCTACACTAAATGGCTTGGAGTAGGACATACTCATTGTTTATGATCATTTGGTATTCGTTATTATTTAAACCCGCATATCCGCCTTTCAGTGAACAGATGGCTTTAAACGTTTTTGTGTGCAGGTGTACAACTATGAAAACAGATACAAAGACACCGCTGCTTCCCACTGGAAACTAAAGTCAGGCCACTTTAAGATATCAACAGGGACTAAGAAGGAGCTTTCTGTGTTGTTAGAGGAAAACTTTGATCAAAGTTGTTTCTCCTCATCCATCTCTGACTGTCCTAGCCAGTCATAAATCATCTTCATTGGGCCGACTGTCAGGCTCAGTCCCATAGCCGTGAAGATCTAATTCACCAGCATAACGCTCTGCGCCGATCTCTGCTCCGCTGTCTTGCTGCACGGAAGAAAGAACCTTGTTCTTTTTGGACATAAGTGGTCCCACATAAAACTTTTTTTTTTTAAATCTAACATGACCTAGATAAATATCGTCCTAATAAGTTTGCTCAAGGGATTTAGAAAAAACATGTAATGTCTGTTCAGTTCAACAACACACCGCCGTTTGTCAGGAATTAGTCGATACCCTATAAGAATGGTTGATTCCAAAGTATTAAAGGGGTCTTGGACATTCTAAAACATCAGAAAAAATAGTTGTATCATTTTGTAAACTGGCATGCAAGCCCCTAAACAGAACCCAAGATGAAGTCTCATTGACAAGAATGAGACAAACCTTTTTAGCTTTTACCTCCCCTGTGGACCAAAGTCATAAAATGATTTGCATGGCTTCACTGAGTTCTGCTAGAGCATATCTGCAATGCTAATAAAGTCCATCGACACTGGCAGGTAATAGCATGCTACTGTAACTTTTCTACCTCAGCTCAGCACAGCTCAATCAGCCCCCGCCAGAGGCCTCTCCTCGACGAGTCCCCGCGGCTCAGAATCAGCAACTTTCAATCTCGGTGTGTTAGCACGCAAGAAGACGCAACTGTACGTTTGGGATGGGTGATGAGACAAGCAGACAGCACAGCGTGAGAGTGAGAGAACAGCAGCGGCTGCACACACACACAGTGTGTCGCACATACAAACACACACATACAGTCTAATATCAGCTCAGTCCCCGACTCCCTTTAAGAGACCTGAGAGCCAGAGAGGGGGAAATAAATACTCTGCTTTATTACAGAGAGAAAGACAGAGAGGGGAGACGAGGGGAGGAGGAAAAGTAAGACACAGAGGCAGGGTGAAACTGCGCACACACTCTCTCTCAAACATACACACACTCACATACACACACACAGCCATGGTTGGTTCTACCTAATGTTGCTGAATCCCATATAGCAGCTGAGAACTCTTTTATTCCCCCAGTCAGCAAACCTCCCTCACCCCTGTCCTCTCATATACTGCCAGCTGACAAAGTAGAAAGAGAGCATACTATATAATACAATAATGTAATAATACACACACCCTGGTCACATACCAACATCTCTCACATAATGAGGTAACGATATGCCTCTTTTGCATCTAATCAAGTGTTTGTTATCAATAAAACTCCACAGGGTACCTTTAATTAACATTCATAGACCAACCTACTAATTTAAAATTGCATTGTCAAAGGTATTGTGCTGTACAAGGTTATTTACACTAGATAAAATAATGAATCCCAGCAAGCATGAAGCATCTTTTGATATTGGATAAAGTTGTTTATAATCTCAATTATAACTCATCACATTGGGGAGTAAATAAAAACTAGGGAAATCAAAAATTAATTATTGTTGTACCTTTGACAGAAATGGCTTCTAATGACAACGTTTTAGTTTTGCACACCTGATCCCATTAAAATGCTTTAAAAGAGGAAAAAATAGCACTCATCCTGCCATGTGGTACTCGTGGTGTTGTGTAATGGTTCTTGTTACATGCCATATAAGAGATCCATCGGCAAAGATCAACATCATGATTTCCTTTCTTGATCCTGCCAGATCCAAGCTCCAACACCATAGAGTCATAACCAAGTTGTAAAAATTGTGGATTTCCCCCCCCCCAAAAAAAAAGCAGTAAAATCAGAGTAGGGAACTCTACATTTGTTTTTAAACGAATGAAGCACTGTATTGGCATTTCATTGTATTTCTAACCAGCTCACAGCCAACTCATGCAATCATAAAACAGTTTGAGTTGTCCTTGGACATGAACAATCCCATTGGACGCCATCCCATCTCTGCCATTCATCTCACATTTAGTGAGCCAGGAAAAGGAAAAACAGGATTTTGGATCTGGCAAGATAAAAGGAGACAGCATGATCTCTCTGCACATGTTGATCTTTGCCAATGAAGCTCTGATATGGCTTGTAAAAAGAATCAGGACAAAACACGATGAGTAACACAAAAGGCACACGGCTTTATTCTCATTCTGCGCTACTTCAAAGAGATTAATATTTCTCGCCTAATTAGTAGTATTAGTATGAGTAAAGTGTAAAGAGGCAGGAAATGGACATGCTCAAGGACAGGTAGAGCTGCATTAAAGCAACAGTACCAGTACAAACTCAAAAGACCCCGACACATTATAAACTTCCACACTAAACTTGAAGTGGGAGAGGTCATTTAAAAAAGTTACGTCAGTTCAGTGGGGTGGAGATTGGGTATTCATGATCGATTAGGCAGTGAAAGATACATATAGCCAGCAGACCATTGATCAAGTCAACTGCAATGAATAATGGCTGATTAATGCACATTCATTCAAAGAATCCCACAGCATTAAAATCTCAACATGTTGCACAGAAAACACATGTAAATATTATCCTGCCTTTAAGCATTACCACCAACTATCCTCTGAAATTATATTTTCTGTGCTTCTACCTCTTTCTTTTCTATCTAACCGAGGTGATTCCTTAACAATCCCTTTATTTCTTCAACACAGGCAGTCAGACTCTTAAATGTGTGTGTGAGAAAGTGACTCAATCTACTCCTCTAGATACAGTCCTGGAGGAGGAAGGAAGGTTTCCATGACCGAGTGCTACACGGAAGATTCTCCACAGGGTCCTCACAGTCAACATGGATGTCCCCTGGCACATTTCTGTGGTACCCCACAGAGTGAAGGGAGAAGCATAACAGTGTGCGCGTTTCTGTAGTAATCCCACACTACTCAGGCACGGCTCCAGCAGATACGGGAACCCCCACAATGGATGACTCATGGAAGAGAGGGATTTACAGAGGAAGAGAAAGACTTCATGTGAGGGAGGTATAGTAAAAGAGGCAGAGGACAAAGTTACCTGAATATCATGAGTGTGCTGTTCCTAAAGTAGAAAGGGGCAGGAGAAATATTGTGCATTTTTGTTCAACTGTATAGCCACTGAATCAAGTCATTTAAATGTTTTGTTTGCCTATTAGCAACGAGAAATTATACTCAATATGTGCCAAAGATTTATTTGTGTTAACTTACATTGTCAACACTGTTTGTACATCAGACACAACTGATTTTATTTTTCAAAGTCAAATTACCCAGCATATACAGTATCTTGATAACAGCTCTTTAATAATGATATTTCTCAAATATCAGATATCATCATCTCAAAGGTCAGGAATCAATTAGCTCAATAACCGTACATATTATCTCCGGGCAGATAATATGGCTCGCACCTTGAACATAAAAAGAAACAAGGGGACACTGTCCATCTACTTTGACTTTGTTAAGCAACAAGCATCATTGACGTAAACACAGTCCGCGGTGCCTCCCGTCATCAGAGGAGTGATGTGATCCGGGTTAGGCCCAGGTCTCTGAAGATTTAAACACAGCATTGCCTACAATGTATTGTACACCTGTATTGTACACTGTGAAGGTTTGGGCAGAAACTGCATTGTAAACAGATCGCAGATTGAGGCTTTGTGTGCCAGAACAAGGGTGGTTTGTAACAAGAAGGCAGAAAAGCAACATCTTTAAATGGGAGATTCTAACACACACACACACACACACACACACACACACACACACACACACACACACACACACACACACACACACACACACACACACACACACACACACACACACACAACACTTCATATTGACAGCCACCACAGCCCATCTGCCCACACTCAGCCCTGACTGTCAATCAGCAGCAAGCCGCCTCCCCCTCAGCCTATCCATCACCAGGCCTAAGGCACCGGGCCACACCGCCTGGCTCAAACACTGACTTCCACAACACGTGATCCAGTGCATGATGCTACTTTTTGCCCATCCGATAACTACTCAAAGTTATATACACACTATCCACAATGTGTATTGCCAAATGTAAAATGAACCGAATTATCTTTGGAGAATTTCGTCTAAAATGTTGCCATTAAACTAAATACGTTCTTAATGCAGAATTGGTCTCCATGCATCAGCATACAGGACTACGGAATGGAAATGCATTTACATGAAGTCCTACCAGAGTACATACATTAGAGGTGACAATATGAGCCTTTGCATTATAAATTTTAAAACAAGTAATAAAAACTGCCAGCTTATGAGCGTTGCATACCAGCAATTTCCTAACGTTTCGCAACATGTAACTATGAGCGTCTTTTAACTGTAAGTGACGATGGACAGATGTGAAAATTGGAAACCCACACCTTCAGCAGTCTAACATACTGTATCAACACTATGTCTAATGGGATGCAGTGGCTGCCAGTTGTGTGTTGTCAGTTCTTATTAGTCCCACTTTTATACTTATGCAGGTTTATAAAGGTCAGCTACAAATTCATTTTGTGAAGACACACACATGAACACACCTTCATTTCCAGTAATGGCTCATATTTCCAGCCCTTTACCGCTGTCTAGAAAAGAGGGGCAAATGCTCCAGGTAGTGCAGCATACTAAGCGTGCGCGCACACACACACACACACACACACACACACACACACTCTCTCAAACACACACACACACACACACACACACACACACACACACACACACACAT